TTTAATAATAAAATGAATAAGTTACACCATTCTAGTGAGTTCTTGCAAGAATCAGTCAGACAAGAATACTTATCGAAGGAGCTGGAACCTTAACTCTACCAAAACATCAGAAAGGATAATCTATCAATTACAACAAAGATATCTCGACATGTTCTTCAAAATATCGAGCACGTAAATAGTATCAATAGGTTTTACATACATTATTTTAATTTTTTGGTTCATTGTTTATAGACCATAAAAGTTTAGAACAATCGTGAACACATTTCATATAGTCGATGAAACCATGATATTCAAGAATTAATGATTTGTTCCATCAGAATTTCATCTAGTGTCCATCGGTGTTACTTGCAAAAACTGAATGCCAATTTTATATAGCTTAATTCACTCCATTGTTGACAAATAGAATAACCAAGATTTAGAGTCAAAATCTTCGATTATATTTTACGGATTTGAAAGAAAAACAATAACTCAAATCTTACCTTGCGTTTAGAACTCTTTCACACACAAGCATCATCTTCATTTTCGTATTAAATCATAAAGTCAAATCGCATACGAATTCATATAGTTTCCATTGATTTTTCTCTCTATATATTCGTTGTAACAAAACTCATAATGGGTCATTGAGAAAATGCAAGAGCTTCGATGATGTAGGTTGCAATAATACATTGACGCCTGTAGCCAATGAACATCTTTGGTCAACATGTAACAATTCAATTTCTTTGCTGTCAATACTACGAAAAACGTTCCTTTTTTCTGGAAGAAACTGGCAACTATATTCTTATTTTTCAATAAGTAAAAAGAAAGAAACAGCATAGATCCCAATTTTATGATCCATAGATTCCTTCCCTTTACATTCTCTTACTTTTAGCCACATACAATGTTCCTTTTTTTTTGTTCGTTTTTTACTTTTGAATCGATGCAGTATTTCTTTGTTTCTTTCTTCCTTATTTTACGTGAACGGGATGCATTACATATGCTTAAAGCAGTTTCTATTTTCAGTTTTACTTTTGTTTTTATTGATTTTCTTCATATTATTTTTTTTTCTTCTACTGTATGGCTGTTGCTATCACTATTATCATCAAGGTTTGTGTAAAATTCGAGAATAATGAACTAGAAAAAGTGTAAATTCGATCTGATTCGGATATTGATGACTTAAAGACTGAATTGTTCGATAAGAACAAGGAAAAAAAAAGAAAGTACTATGGTATATTTAATAATAAAAGATTATCATCTTCTTCATGCGTATCACACGAGACTATTAGTGAAAATTCAATTTTATTCGTTAAAATTGATGAGAATGCTCGTGAAAACTACAACGATGACCAAGATACTTTTCAAGTAACTGCTGCTAATCTATATGCAAGTAAAAAAAAACAGTGGGCTAATTTCAAAGAATTACTCTGGATAGAGACATGGGTTGGATGTTCTGCATATCTTATTTTACAAGAAATATATGAGCTTTAAATTCGCTGATTTTTGTTGGAACAGCGAGAAAAAAGACAGTGACCTGCCTATCTGCTAAACATGTTCAGTTTTCCATTCGACTATTTTTCTCATCGTGTTGGAACATCAAGTTGAAAATAAATCTGACAGATTATTTCTTAGCAAAGTAGTTTTATGGGACATGATTGAAAGTGAGTGTAGAATTTTAAAGGAAAAATAAATGGACTCTGCATTCTTTCTCGTAAACATCTGTACTCGTTGACTCCGTCGCAGATTGTAATAGACATGCCCCACATGCTATTATGGTTGTTTTGCACTGAAATTTTTGAATATCAGTTTTGACGAACTCTTGATTTGAAATCTCGAATTTCAAAAAGTCTCTATTTTTTCTTATAATCCAGTATGGCAGTCTTTATTATGGATCGTCACAAAACATTCACGGATGATTTGTCCCTGATTTTCTGATGAATCCAGAAGAGTAAAACAAGAATTTTCATGTTCATGCAAAACAGAGCCATTGTTTTTCACATTTTTATTTCATACGGATTGAGTGAAAAGCTTTCTTGATTAGTCGTTCGATGAACTATGTACAGCATCATAGTCTTGGTCGAAAAATGAGAAAAAAACAAATAACCTTTTTTTTCTTGCCAATGCTTGTTTGCGGAACTGACAGCGTCACAAAAATGACCTTATAAAAGGCAATTGGAACGTATGGAAATGTTGTGTGATCGATGCTGTACATTTACCTGCAAATAAACTACGAGATCAATTAATTAGAATCGAGTTACACGTACGTGAATTTATCAGACATATTTCGAAGACGTTGCAAATAAATATTTTAAGCCAATTGGTCATGGGCCGAACGAGACATCAGTTTATCAATCGGATACACGTCTGCTATTTGGCAAAATAGGGCTTTAGCTAAAAGCATTGCATATGCGTCAAGATGCTTAACTGACATCTATTTTGATTGGTAACTGAATGCTAGTTATAGTATAACAGAATTTTAGTCAGGAACTTCTCATACATGGAAAGAACTACGAAACATGTGCCTAGTTAGAGTAGAAAATCTAAGAAATTGAATCTCGACTTTACGTAATTGCTCTTGAAACACTATTTTCAAGGCATTCTATGTTTTGTTGAGCGCAGAATATAGGTTACAAATAACTTTGGAAAGAAACCTGTTACATTGTAGTCAAGCGATCATATCGCTTTCAGCACACCTTCTTCTGCTCTTGTTGTAAAAATCAGACAAATCTGAAGAATTTCACTGGCAAGTTCATGACATACTTGGGAGAAACTTTCTCTTGTTGTGGGTATCGGATGCATGGATATTTTGAGATCTTTTGTTTTTCCTATAGTACTACTCTTTCAGATTTCTTTCTCTTGTAGTACCTGACGAAGAATCAACAGTTACCACATCAATCACAACTCTGACACAGAATGTGAAGAGTACTTACTGCTACATTTAGTAGACACAATACATTATAAGAATGGAGACAAATACTAGTATCTTCGTACAATAATAATGATCTATGATGATCATCGGACGAAAAATAACATATGAATGTTTTTTTTTTTGTATTTTCATGTTCACATATATTTCGGCAAGAGCTTCGCCACATATTGAGAAAGACCGACTTTGATATCTTATCATACAAGCATACACGCATTGCATATGTTCTATGAATCACAACTTTTCATCGGTCCTCCATCGATAAAAGTAAACGATAGATCGAAGTGTTCATCGATTGTACATCTGAGAGAAGCGTCTTACCCACGAACTAAGCTCGATGTAATATCAGTATTTTATAGAGCATCAAAAGGGTTATCGAATAGTTTATAATTCAAACTGGATTGTTGCTTTTATAGTTCCATAGGAGAATAACTTTGTAATGGGTATCAATAGTCTCTATATATATATGAGTGCATAATGCTATCTAAAGAAGAATATTTTATCAAATTCCTATATGTCATTCGATAGCGGAAAAAGTGGCCTTTCATTTTATATAAAATTCAAATGAAAAGTCCTGAAAAAGAAACAAAAGGAAAGCTTTTCATATGAAAACTGCATACTACGAACCTATATCAGATAGATAATATCGAGTTTTATATCATCCGTGAGCAGTGAGAATGAGGGCTAAGATACTGATTAGAAGGACAATCGACTCTTGGCATCTGAATTAAATACTTGGAAAGTATAAAACTTAATTTTGAAAGGGGATCAACTTCATCGCTTAATGACTTCCACCTTTAATTTTGGATAATTAGAAAATTCATTCGTTTCTGTATTAGAATGTATTCAGAAATATTAAAATAAAAGACAATTTGAAGCTATAGTTTCAATCTAATAATATTTTTGTTGTATGCTTTTCACGTTTATAACCTCTTCGATAAAAAATGCTTGATAATCCAAAACAGAACTTACTGTATTTTAAAAATCTCAAAACAGAATTTGTTATACACTTTCTTTTCTTGAAGTATCATCAAAACTTGAAAAATCTTTCATACTGACAGTGCAACATGTATTTTGTTATCTTGATTCATTGAATATTTTAACATTTTAAGAGACATCAGTAATATATAAAAATCAATACGAATTCCATATTGACGAAGCAATTATTAGCTGTATAGTTTCCAACAGAGGTTTATTTAATAAAAGAAAGTCGCAGTTACATTCAACTTAATTATGAAAGTAAATCATTTCGTTCAAGCTTGACATGCTGAATATTCGTAAAATAAATTATGAATTGATTTCTATTATGATTTCATAAATCTGTTATTTAAAGTTCAGATTTAAAATGAATCAGATAAAAATAGATTATTGTTATGATTATCAATTTCAAAGTTAATTATTGGTAGCACACTACATTAATAAAACTATTCTTCTTCATCTAAGACTGATGTTATAAACTCAGTAACATAATGTTATCCATTTTTATGTAAACGACTTTATGTCTTTGCTCATCATCGTTTTTATCCTATCTTGTAAAATATTGCGTATGAGCATGACTATATGAAAATAAAACGGTTTATTTTCTTTTCCTTTTTTTACCCATCTTTCAAAGTATTATCATCTTGAAGTCGTGTTACACAGATAAGAAATAAAATTTCATCAATCAAATAATATTTAGGACTTTGTATAATCTTTGAAACCTTAGTTATGCGTTGTTATCCGAAAAATTTTATAAGAACTAATCGAATTAATATATTTTGATGAATTGAAATTTCACAAAATTCAGTATGTGATTAAGTATGTAAAGTTAATTAAATATTTATAAAGATTCATCAAATTTCAAGTCTAATTTTTAGTTTCTCAATTTCGATCAATATGTATATATCACTTGGAATGCTTCAATTCCAATTTAAATAAAAATGTGTTTCGCTAACGGTAACCACTCAAAAACAGAACACGAATGAAAACAATTTAAAAAAGTATAGCTTTTCTTTCTGCATCACTCTAACGGCAAACAACATACACAAGACGAGAAAAAAAAGAATTCTAAAACGACGGAAGTAAACACGTGCGTGCGTTACTTTGATGCAACATAAAAACAATGGGTTGTCACAATACTAAAGTTGAACCGATACAAAGCTTAGTTGTATCGACGCCAGAGTTGGTGTTGCCGGCTACCAATGATCAATTACCTGTGGAAATTATTTATAAAATATTGGATGAATTAGATACAGAAACAATTTTTGTATCATTATATCATGTATGCAAACGATTCGATAGTATTTTATCTACTTATGATAAATATCAAATTAATTTAAAAACGATTTCATTAAAAAATTTTGATTTAATTTGCTCTCGTATTCGTCCAGAACAAGTGATTGAATTAACATTATCGGATGATGAAAATAGTCCAAGATTAGTCGAACAGTTTCTTTCACGATTTTCCATAAATGAATTTATCCGTCTTCGCTCTTTAACACTTATACAAGTTAGTAATGAAGAATTTATGAATCGAATATTAATTCCTATTGCTGATCATACATCATTATTAAATTTTTCTTCGATCACAATAATTAATAGCAATGAGACTTATGATGATATTTTCGTTGAATTGATCATGTCTGTTCTTACTAAACCTTCACTTCGCATAGTCTACTTCGACCTATCATATGATCGAGGCACATCGAATCCATTACCTTGGCTTGAACAATGTTCAATCAAACATATGATATTTAAAGGCAGTTGTAGTTTTAGTTTCGTCCGAAATACTTTTTTCTATGCACCTCAATTGGAAACATTTGAAGCAAGTGATTTCAATTTTGATGAGGAAATCGATTTAAACAGTGTTCCAAATAATGATGAAGACGACAATAACAGTGATGATAATGAAGAATTTGAATTAGAAGCTGAAGAAAATCCAAATCATGAGGAAAATCCAAACCATGAGGAAAACCCAAATCATGAGGAAAATCAAGTACCGAGAAACGAAAAATTCGCATCTATACAATCGATAGATTATTTAAAATCATTGACAATTGATGATTGTTCAATGAATATGTCAAAACTTGAATGGATGCTACAAGAGATGCCAACATTGAAACGATTTCGCTTGAGTACTACAAGTGGATATAACGATGAATCGATTCTAGATGGCCATCGATGGACTTCTCTTGTATCTAATATAGACAAATTCGAATTTGTTCTTTCAGTTTATATATCAGATTCGTCGACATGGGATACGGACGTATGTATAGATGCATTTCGAACACCATTTTGGATTGAAAAGAAACAATGGTTTGTATCATTGGAAAAGTATGACGACGAACTTATTATTTATACATTGCCATATCTCAACAATTTTTATGTCGTCAAAAGCTTGTCATCTTCATTTGAATATCGTTCTACTGCTATTGAAAATTCAATCTTACAAATTCAATCTATGACTAATGTTCAGGACTTACATATAGATGCATCGAGCATAGCAAAATCTCAAGTAGAGGTAAGAAATTCACATATATTTTTTTTTTCTATTATTTGGTGATTTTGTAAGTTTATAGTTTAAGTTTAACAAGGGAGGAAACCTATCCGATTGATAATCTCCGTTTGAGCTCATATTTTGCTCATAGCTGGCACTTACAATGTAGATAAAATTCTGAAAGAATTCGTGTCATGAGACCTGTCTTCTCGATTTATGATCATTTTACTGCACTTTTATCCTATTTCAGGATACCACGAAAAAAATCGAAATAAGAAGTTTCAATCTGAAAATCTTGCCAACAATAGCTCTCATGATGATTCTTATCGTATCCTAAAAGTTTCAGCTCAAATGAATGATTTCTTCTTAAAATATAGTATACGTAAAAGCTAGACTATTTTTGGAGCTCATATGTAGAAGTAAATGTTTCTTCAAACGTATTATGACCGAAACTCTTTGTTGCAAATTTTCTTTTGATATTCTACGATAGACTAAGTAGTTTAATAAAATGACTATAGCTCGAGAAGAATAGCATAATGGCGCGAATCCTCTCAAAGCTTTTATTTGCATTATGAATCCTAATTATAAGTACAATATGAGCTCAAACGGTGATTATCAGTCGAATGGGCTTCTTCGTACGACAAAAAGTTAGACACAAGAAAGAATTTATAGATAAGAAATGAAATATTATAATTGTAAGTTTTCTTCTTTTTAGAATGATAGTTTTCCTCATTTTTCTCATGTTACACATTTATTTCTTTATGGTAAATGGCCAAAATCAAAATCATTTCTTACTGATATAAAAACAATTGTAGATCTGAATACTATTGAAGAATTAACTAGAGAAGAGATTGTGCCAACAGTCGATTTTATTAAATTATTAGACATGATGCCCAATCTAAAATCAATAAAAACTAGTACGAATCTTCTTGATGCTTTAAATGCTGCTAAATTTTCTCATACAAAATGTCTTCGTTCATTCATTATTGATACAACTAATTATGGAGACCAACAATCTGTCAATACTGAGCCATTCTGTTCTATGTTTCCTCGAATTCAGCATCTGATTATTCCAGTGAATAATGTTGATAGTTGTCAATATGTTCTTGATCAACTAAAAGAAGATCTTCTTAGTGTTATTTTTCGAATAACTGCAAATGATAATATATTTGATGAGACTGACGATGAAAGTGAAAACGAAGAAGAAAATTCAACTGTCAATTTGTTTTCTGAATGGATGCAAGAATTATCAGAAAAATATCGTTGCTGTAAAAGTCAACGACAAATTCATATATGGCTTCAATGAGTTTATGTTATCTGTTTTATCATGAGGTCTCTTATAATAATTACACTTTGTTTTTTTTTGTTACATACTGTTTTCTATAAAATCAATTTTTATATTTTCTCTAATGTCACAAAAGAGAAAAAGACAAACAATTCAAAATATATATTTGTAACCTTGAGTATATATACAAGGAGAGGATTTGTTTATCAATTCCAGGATTGATTATTGTGTTTTAGATTTATTAGGAAAGTAATGAAGTAGACTTATAGAAAAAAGAAAAACTTTTAAATCACATGATGAAACCTATGCTCAACATCATTATGTTTTGTGCATACTGTTTTTATAAGCCAATTCATAAATGTTTTTATTTATTTAACATCACACTTACGATTGAATGATATTTTTTATAATTTAATTCTATTTAAATCAAGATTTCTACAGTTTCTTTCTTTCAAAAAAGTCCTGTTACCTATATACATATGAACAAAAACAAAACAATATACTTAGAGTAATGAAATTTTAAAATGAAAGTCAATAAAATTTAGAGAAAAAATCAAATTCTATTGCAAGAAATAACTGCGTTTAAGCACTGAAAACTAATTAATTGAACACAAGATAGATGTTGGGCCTTTCTAATCCGAATTCAAAGGCTAAAAAAAATTATTTTTAATATATTTATATTGAAAGGACAATGTATAGACAAAGGTAATGATAAAGAAACAATTCTACTTAATGCATAACACAACTGAATTGAGAAGATTAGTGTAAGATACTTCGATTTTCACCGGAAAAACATCTGGAAATATATTAAACTATAGTTTTCTTTCTGTCCATCTAATTAACATCATGACAATGTCTTTCATTCATCATATACGTATATTAGAAGCAAAAACTTTTTTATATCATAAAACAAAAAATAAAAGGTCATTTATGATAGAAAAAATTCATTTAAAATGTTATTATTTGATCCAAATATTCTCTATATTTGAATATGTGTTGTTAATTAAATTAAAAAAAATTTTCGTATTGATCATTGATCACTTGCTATTGTATTTACAGAAAGTTAATAAAAAACAGACTTCGTTTCATTGATATCCATACATTTGGCTAATTCTTTCTGTTCAGTTCATCACAACAATAGTGCTATAATCATCGACATAATCTGTTCAATGTGAGGCAATATTACTTTTCTCTTTCTCTCTTAACACATGAAGTGTCTGCATATGTACTTTGTGTCTGTTAATCTTGGCTGGGTACGGACATGAGCATGTGATAAGAAGTACAATGTTTGATGTGTGCGATCGTCATCGTCATTGTTCATCGACCGACTTGTTCGACACATACATCAAGTAAAAAGACGAAGAAAAGAGATAAGTATTAGCAGATGAGTCTTCGAAAAGATATCATAAAAAGAAAATGAGTCAAGAAAAAAAAAAGAACAAGCAAATTAATTACTATTATGTGTGTTAAGAGAGCAAAAGAAGATCAATAATAAGTGATGATAGTGGATAGAATTTTTACAATGCCTCAAAGGCATAGACATGCGCAAATCATCATTAGAGAATTTCACATACAATTCATCGATGATTTTAAAGAATGAGATTATTACTATTGCACTTATTCGTAAAGACATATATTAAATTAACAGTAGTTGCTCATATATTGTCTTATTTTTTTTTTGAAGAATTTTAAAAAAATTATAAATTCAGAATATAAAAATAGCGAATGCATACATCAACATATTCCTATGTGATTTGTATACATCTTCAAAATATTTTTGCCGTCAAATCTGTTTGTAAAAATGTCCCTGAAGAATTTCGGACATCTATTCATTTGATCTCTATTGTTTTATACGACGTTGTCTATCTCGTTTTTTTTTCATGTCCTTGAAATCCCTTGTTGATAATGATAGCAATGATGATAATGGTGCCAGAACTTGTCACTCATGATGAATAACTAAAAAGTGTCTGTCGTGTTGTGCTACGGTCACTGCATCGCTTATCGATCCTTTTTTTTGTTCATTCTCATTTGTCCATCTGCTTCAAACACGCATTCCCATTCTTTCTGTCTCTCTCTCTCTCTTATTTTCTTCAAAGAGAATTTTTTTTTTGTATGTATATGCCTTTAAACTAAAAAAAAGCGAATTGACCGACACTACAACATACAAATTATTCCTTTTGACCGCGCAGATGCGTACGTGTAACACAATGAACGATGATAGGCTAGTACCGTAAACAAACATACATACTGCCATTCATTATCATCCTTGCTTATACTCTTGTTCACAGTATGCGGTCGATTGCAAATCGTTTTTCTCTATCAATTAATCGATGTCGATCAACGGCATACATCAAAAACACAGTGTGTCAATTTTATAATGTAAATACATACACACACTTGCTTTTCAAATGATGACTGGGTAATTAATAAATAGATAAAATTTTTCTTTCATAAGAATGAATCTTGTCAAAGCTCAAGGTAAGTATTTTGTTGCATCAGTATTTCTCATCAATGTGAAATGTAACACTCTTTTGCTGGAATGAATTTATGATTAGTGTGAGTATTAATATCCTTGACGTATCACCTCGCTGATCATCATGATGTAAGAATAGAATATGGAATGCTGATGAATAGAACAGCCTGTGCATTCTACTAGTATTACCACGGATAATTGACTTAGCATGATAGTGTATATGTGTGTATGCACAATGAATTATGGATCGATTCTTTCATAACCCAATTTTTGAGTGCATGTGTACATATATGTCAACGAACATGACATACGGAGGTCGTTAACTTACGGTGAGAGATTTGTGTATTGCAATTTGTTGGAATAGCTTTTAGATGAGAAATAAAAAGACTGTCAATGCCATTTTATCGATTGATAATCACGTTGACTGTGTATTGTTCTAATATTTATGTTCGGAAAATTTATGTTAATGTTTCTTTTCTTTTTTTCTTCTTTACTTTCTCTTATTATGATGATGGTATGTCGACTTAGGCTAGATACATCTTGTGAATGTCTTTTATTCCATTCTCGTGTCGAATTCTTTTTGTAATGCTTACAACATCTCATCATTATAAATGAACATTTATCCTATTCGTTTTTTTCTTGTTACAATATATATTAAGAAAAGTAAAGTGAGAAGAACACGCGACCATGCACATATATTCTTTTTCACCTATTACCTTTTGTTCAATGAATACTAGAGTGAAATTTGAGTGTATAATTGTGTGCATTCTGTACAAAGATTACATTCTTTCTTCATCTTTCTTTTTTTACTGAATTAAGTGAACGAGAAACATCAAGTGATATACTTATTATATATATATATATAAATCTGCTACTTGTCTCTTCTATATATAAGCTTATAAAAGACATCTGCTATGTAACACAAATCACTTGTGTCATTGTCGACAAGAAAATTGTTTATTCTTAGAATTCTCTTCTTCTTCTAAACCAATCTTATTTCTATGTCAAAATTATTCACTTGCATAATCGATGCATTAGTTGTATATACATGCAAAGGCATAATGGATAGGTGATTTTATTTTTTCGTCTTCTTCTTTATTCAAGTATAATCTTAAAAGGCATTTTAGAGAAAAAGCCTAATTATCTCCCAATAGTCTCAAATATCGATAGAATAGTGAATAGGATTTTATGAGAAAGAGAGAGCGAGAGAGAGAGAAAGACAGCCATGATTGTGCAATTTAGCTGATTAATATTTTATCTCATCGTGTCATGCTTAGTGCTAGACGAACGGCGAAAGCGCGCGCGACAACCCGTGTCACTTGTGATTATAGAAATAAGTCTCTTTCTTATTCTTCTTCCATTTTTGACATCAATTAGGTTGGTAGGCACGTTCAGTAGCAAAAATCTGACCAACTAATGAGTAGCGACAGCAACAAATGTATGAGACAGATGGAAAAACGTGATGCTAGATGATGCAAAGTCATCGTTTAGAAGTTGAAAATTGAATGAATGAACAAAAGATGAATAGAACGTGTCGCTTATATAGGGAAGAAAAACCTTTTCATTATCTTTACTCAATGAACAATAGAATTGATTTTCAAGCCGTACGCATGTATACAATGATCTTTTGAGAAAATCGTCTGCATTTTTTTCTCACTAAGTTTCACTTCATACTTGACACTCATTGTCCTTCTTGAGAGTATACTTTCTTTTTTTTTCTTTCTTTCGATCTCTTTTCTCATTTTGAAGACTATTGATGTCAATCTCTCTTCTTTATGTAATATAAGCTCACAAAGAAATATCATCATCATGTGAAATCTTACAAAAGAAAAGGTGTTCTATTTATCTTAACGATCAGAAAAAAACAATTCATTACATTTGGATAAACATCATGTTGTATTTATTAGTATTCTTTGAGATTTTTCATATTTTTTTCCAATGATTGAACACTCTTTTTATTCTTTTTTGGTTTGTTTTTTTCATGATTGATCCGTCTCCTTCTTCTCTCTTCTCTCCCTCTTAGTTCTACTTAAAGACTTCCTTCCTGCTTTGCCTATGTATGCGCCACTTTTTTTCTCTTTCGACGGCTGTTGCTATTGCCGTTGTCCGTTCATCAAATAATCATAAAAAAAAAGAGAAAGGACCGAGTACTGACTCTCATTCTCTCTTTTGCAGAAAATGATGTAACCGAATCACATACATACATGCATGGAATTGACGATTTTTGTCAATATTCAATATGTGCATGTGTGCCAGAGATTTTTATCAGTGATTCTCATCCAATCTGTTTCTTTCTAATTAAAAATCAACAAGTAAGTCCCATAAGTAAGTCAAATGAGTAGAGAAGAAAAAAAAACGAACCACAAGTATATAGTGGATAAGATAGAGTCACGCGAAAACATCTCGACCAAGACGACTTTATGTCTTCACACTAATGGATTGAATAAACAACAAGTGTTAGTGTATACGCAAGGCTTGAGTGAATAAGTGAATGAATGACATAAGTATTCTTTCTTTAGTTCTTCTATTGCTTGTATACTTTGTCTGT